GCCATTTTGAACGAGTGCTGTTATTACTACAATGGTGAATTCGTGTTGATAAAATGTCGCACAGTCTAATATGCACAATCGACAGTAGCTACGAAACTCGGACTTCATATGTTACACAAAGCAAACAATAAAGGAAAGTAAACACAGTACAGTGAGTTGTGCACATCAAAGTTCCAATTGAAGTCTTTCTCCTCTCGCGGATAAGCAATCAGGCAGAGGCAGACAATCAAAACCCGGTTGCCACCAGCAAACTGTGCGTAGTGGATGACTAAATATTCAGTGTACGGTACGGTATAAAAGCATGCAAATAATGAGATTGACAAGAAAACAGATAATGCAACTGAAACTATATTCTGTATAAATTCATGACCTCTGACCTCTTAGACATCTATTACATAATTGTTTTCTTACTGTATAATGTCATATTATTAATTGCTGTAATTGATGCTTAATTTGTAATTTATTATGTTGATTAGATAAGTTTTCCTGTAGCATAATGTCAATGATAGCAGTTGAACGTGTTTGTAAATAATAGTTGTATTTTATGTAAAGGACTCCAGGAGGAATAGTGATTTATATATTATCACTAATGGGAGATTCCTAAATAAACAAACAAACAGTCAGACGTTTGAAGAAATCTCAAATGTTCAGTGGAGTCAGTACCTGCAGTTAGATCCCACGTATAAAAGCTAAGACCACATTTACGATGTCATGAGTGTAGAAATCCTTTTTATATCTATTCTTCAAATAGCGGCCTACGATGCGGCACCGGACGGCGTTGCCATTGGCAACGGTTTGTGCAAGAAGCTGTGGCTAACCCTGGGTTTTCTGTTAGTCATGGGCAACGCCATACTGGTGTCATATTTTGCAGGTCAGCTTTCTTAATTGTGTGCACTGTGTAATACAATGAATGGACATTTTCAAATTATTGTTGGGAAGTTATATCACCGTACAGACTAATGAAACGTATTATTTGTCCTGATGTTTCCAGCTAAAGTGATGACGCTTTCTGCTGAGGTGGCCAATCTTACATCACGGGGCAGCATCCCTGAGTTACTACGTGTGGAACTTGACCGTAAGTATCATGTTCTTATAACCTAGAATACCAGTTATAGACCATGAGATTGTGTTCACAATTACAAGATAGTGACATCTAGCATGCATTTGTACTCTCATGTCATGCTGATGCATTTGTACTTCATGTCATTCACCATATGTCACCTTTACAGAGGAAAAATGTCACAGCAGATGTCATGTCAGTTCATATATAGCTTGTCAAATTGTCAAATGTACGTTTCAGCTGAACGATAATCTATCGTCTTTCAGGAATGGGTAAGTCTCCGGCAACTTTGGGGAGTATGGGACCACCTGGTCCCCCAGGCCCCCCTGGCTCGTCTGGGCCACCAGGAGAAAAGGGGCCCATGGGCCCACCTGGCCCTGTGTCTGCCGGTCCTCCTGGGCCACCTGGCCCTCCAGGGTTGATGGAGTCAATTGGAGCTATTGGAGGTACATGCTAATTCATTTTCAATATAACCTCATGCTATCTTCATTCATTTGATCAATAATGTAATTGATCAATAAATTAATTGGTGAATTTCATGCTTAAACTTATATGTCCGTAGTTCTTGCGGTACGAAATTTACTGTGATTATTTTATTGTGAACTGGATGGAAACCTTCCTAACGAGAAACACAACTTCAATGTTTAAATAACCAAATTACTAGTTGTGAATTGTATATTTGTTTTTTTTTCTACCTTCATCATTATCAATTTTCACTTTCAATAATACATATTCAGCCCCTATAAATATTTTGAATCATTGTTTCTAGCATCTTGCTCTGAAAGTTACACTAAGTTCCGTGAAACCTGCTACAAGGCGTTCAACACCCTGGCGAACTTCGGGGACTCGGCTCTGTACTGTCGCGTCGATGGCGGCACCCTTGCCATGCCCCGAGACGCTGCCACAGACGCCTTCCTCATCTCTCTCAAGAACTCCGTCGACGACAAATCCGACTTCTGGTTTGGTCTCCATGATCGGCGCGAAGAAGGAAGCTTCGAGTGGATCGATGGTTCTGCACTTGGAAGCTACGACTCCTGGGCTCCGGGGGAGCCAAATAATGACTATTCCAAAGAACACTGCGCTCACTACATCTCGTCTACCTGCAGAAAACCTGCTACTGCAAACAAGTGGAATGACAAAAAGTGCAACTACCTTCAACCCTTCATATGCCAAGTGGCACCAGGTACTTCACATGAATATATGCCATTTATTGACTATGTTCCAAACGATCATCACAATTGCTACCACCAGCTTTGAACTTAACAATACTCATACACTCACCATTGATTGTTTATGCATTTATAATTCAACCTTTTAAACACATTCTACACCTTATTGATGGTACCTGTGTTAATTCCTTTGCAGGACGTCCGTAAGCGACAGGCCGAGCTCACGACACCTGTGTCTTTATCATCAAAGTTGAAGAGGCGGCAGGTAAAGTGTAAGATCTCAAATTTCACTGTGCCCTGTGAGCCAGCTTTCTTGGTGATTATGTGCTTGTATTAAGTAGAGATTTTCAATGGGCGATTGAACCTATAGTCTTGAAGCAATAAAAATACAATTATACATTGTTATCCCACACTTATGGTAATTAAATCTTATAAATCTTTCTCTGTGTTATCTCGTATGTTAATAGAATTGATTTTTTAAGTTGTATTTTAATCATTAAAAAGGGACCTTTCGAGCTTTCTCCATGTTGTCTTGTATTTAAATAGAGTTGATTTTTTTCAAAATTTAGATGGTATGAAAGAGCAACGATGTGTTTTTTCCTGTTGAAATATTGTACGATAGACACCTTTTGTAAAAGATTAGTTTGTACTTGTTACAATAAATGTAGTAAATTATATATACTTCTGACTGTAGAATTGAAATAATTTTGTATAGCAACAGTGCAAATGTTAAATGAAATGACCTTGTATGGCAAAATAGAAAGGGAAATGATCCTGTTTAGTAGCAATGGAGTACTTTGAATATGCATAGTAACAATGGAAATAGAATGAATCTGTATAGCAAAAATGGAAGTAAAGTGAGTCAGCATTGTAACAATACATGAAAATACCTACGTATCTAATATATGGACCACAGTGACTATAAAATGTAAACAGAATGGTGAGTATTTATCAACTTTGTTTCCATCCTGAATCTAGAATTAATGTATGATTTATATATGATAATAGAGGAAGTGTATTAACACATCTTTCACGTCTATCTTTCTGGGTGTAAATTATGCTAACTATGATAATACGAAAGTCCATGTGCTTTTGTGGAGTCAACAAAGAATCTCTATTATATCTTACAGCACCCTTTTTCTTGTGACTTTTCATCTACCACATGCGCCACTGTCTGGAATACACAGAAACATTGTTTCTTCTTTTATTATGGTGCCGCATTATATAATTTTCAAGATTTTGATTCCAGTTCCAAGCAGATGAGATTCAGGCGAAGAGGTTGACGACGATAGATGACACGTGATCATGAAGAAAAATAAACTGTTCTCCAACTCAAAAAGAATATAAGTCACCAGAAATTTTCCACTGAATCACTCAGTCTTCATCAGCTTTATGACCCAGACGCTATGGACACGTGACTTTTAGCCACGTGTGACGTCAGCACTGGGTCAAAGTTCGTCGGAAGTCGGTAACGCCCCCCGTCACGGTTGAGGAAAGTTTGGTATGCTCTGATGTAGATGTCGAAAATTTCTGGTGAGTTGGACAACAGTTTATCTTTCTTCATGTATTTTACCAACTCAGATGAACTTGAAGAGACAGCTGGAGCCTCTGGAGACAGCTGTCTACGGCCGCCATGCTTCTACCCTGAAGCCCGCGGATGATTGATTGATTGATTGATTGATTGATTGATTGATTGATTGATTGATTGATTGATTGATTGATTGATTGATTGATTGATTGATTGATTGATGAACTTGCATGCTATGACACGTGATCAATGTGGATCTGATGATCTCCCTGCGGATCTGGATCTGGCCTGGATCGGCTGTACGGGCGGGATCCCGAGTACCGCCTACCGCGTCCTGATCACCAAGTTACCACTTGATCTGGAAGTTGACCAGGTACTCTTTGAATTCTGAAAAGAAGTAGAAAAGATGGGTTGAGGGCCAAAGTTGGAGAATGCTGTGTTGAGATGCGCTACTTACCATCATAGTCTAGCCGTGCGTCCCTCTCTTATCCCTACCTCTGGTACTGTATGCCGTATGTTTTCTAATTCGTACTCCGATGTCTACCCTGTACTCCAAGGTGCACTCGTCCTTTTTTTCTATTTATGCATGGCAGCGGCACACTCAAGTTTTTCCAACTTATTTTTATGTTGCCACCATTGCAGACAAACGCACGAACAACAGACATACTCATCACCTGAGTTAAATGGGGAAAATCGTATAAAGTGCCTTTCCTAAGACCGGTAGCACGGCAGGGTTCGAACCCGGGACCTCTTGGCTCCGAGGCGAACACTGCCGTTACGCCACACAACCCCACACGTTCTTACCATCATAGTCTAGCCGTCCGTCCCTGTTGACGTCTCCCTCCTCCATCAACTCGTTCAGCTCGGCCTCACTCAGGTTCTCATCACACGCCTCCGCCATCGCCTGGTGAAACAAGCCATGTCATTGGTCATTAAACAGCTACGTCACTCAGGTTCTTATATCACACGCCTCCGCCATCGCCTGGTGAAACAAGCCATGTCATTGGTTATTAAACAGCTACGTCACTCAGGTTCTCATCACACGCCTCCGCCATCGCCTGGTGAAACAAGCCATGTCATTGGTCATGAAACAGCTACGTCACTCAGGTTCTCATCACACGCCTCCGCCATCGCCTGGTGAAACAAGCCATGTCATTGGTCCAGTAAACAGTACGTCATCGGTAACGTCATTGGTCAATATACAGCACGTCTTTGGTCAATATATATATATACAGCCTCGACATTAGTCATAAGGCTTACTTATGTGACGTCTTGTGCTGTAATCATAAGTATTTTAACTCATGTGTTTACATGATGTTCTACGTCATGCGTGACGTCATGTGTTTATATGTGTTAAGTCAGGAGTGACGTCATGTGTTTACACGATGTATCACGTCATCAGTGACGTCACGTTTAGATGCTGACCTTCCACTCGGCCATGCTGATGAATCCGTCGTTGTTCTTGTCGAAGACCCTGAAGGCAGCCCGAACCTCGTCCTCGTTCAGCTCGCCCTCCTCCTGGTGCATCTGTTTCGCCATCAGCTCCAGGAACTCGTCAAAATCCATCGTGCCGCTGCCTGGGAGGGTGGGGTGGAGAAGCAACGTCAGGGGCCTTATCAGGCTAACGGGTTGTGTTCATACAGGTGACATAATCCTGTATGTGTTTATGTCTAAACATTCATACTGATCCTGATATATCCCTGTTTCGTTCTAAGAGCTCGTCAAAATGCACTAATATCTACTATACTATATCTGTACTACAAAAAACTAATGGGCTGCTCCCTCTGTGCTCATTGTTGCATAGCCGTCACGGCGACGGTATGAGCTGGTTCCAAGCAGTCGCGGAGGTGATGGCGCTAATGGCGCTCTCAGCACGTTCTCATCGTGCTCTAGTGACGACCTCGGCGCTCTCACGGCGTTCTCTTCGCGCTCCGACCAATTTCAGGTCGCAGAGAGAGCGCGGTGAGAGAGCCGAAAGCGCCATAAAAGCGCCGTCCTAGTGAAATGGGGACCTTACCGTCCTCGTCAGCCTCCGCCATGATTTCCTCCAGCTCCTTGCGGCTGGGGTTCAGCCCGATCTGTTTCAGGATGGTCCCTGATCTATACTATACTGTACTATACAATATATACTATACTATACTTTACTTTTAAGTTACTACATGTATACTAGACTATATCTGTACTAAAGAACTAGTGAGCTGTTTTCTAACCGTCCTCGTCGGCCTCCGCCATGATTTCCTCCAGCTCCTTCCGGCTGGGGTTCAGCCCGATCTGCTTCAGGATGGTCCCCAGGTTCTGCACGCTGATCTCGCCCTCCCCCTTCTGGTCAAACATGTCGAACGCCATCTGGAATTCTGTTTGGGGGAAAGAAAGACGTTTTTAGACAACCCCTTCAGACAAAATTGCGTTGCCAAATGGTTTCTCTTTCAATATTTTAGCCTGGTGAAAAGTTTACACCTTTTTAAAGAATTGCAGCTGAGGTTAAATTTTGAGGTGTTCTGTCAACGATACATTACAGTCCAGCAAATGCAGTGTAGATGGAAGCCGCTAGAGGGCATCCCAAACATATAACACATAATCAAGACTTCATTTTCTTTTCTTAGAAAATAAAGCTCTGCCGAAGAACCAAAACCGTAACTACAAGACAAATATTGTTGGAAAGTGTACAAACTTACACCAACGCAGTGTGGTTTTTGGCCGTTCTTTAAATCAAATTTTATTCAAAACCCAGACGGAAACAAGCTGGTTTCTTACCCTCCACCAGATCGTCACTTAGCATGTCTCGTGCGCTCCCCTGGCAGGGGGAAAGAAAGAAAGAAAGAAAGAAAGGATGAATGAATGAATGAATGAGAGAATGAGTGAGTGAGTGAGTGAATGAATGAATGAATGAATGAATGAATGAATGAATGAATGAATGAATGAATGAATGAATGATTAAATGAATGATATGATATACGTAAGGAGCCCTTTATTTTTTGGTACCACCAATAAATACATATACATATTTAGTCAAAACCAGCCTACGACATGAAACTAGCATCCGTTTTCCATCGCATGTTCGCCTCACAGATTTCAGTATGCTATGAGACAGGGTTTTACTACCATGAAATCGTCTTAAGTGTCTTTAATGACCGTTGACTTTTCAATTTTGGACTTGTAAATGGAGTCATCATCATCTGATGTAAGACATATGTTTTTGTCAGATAGATCAGGGTATAGTTCAACGGCTTTAGAATGTGTTCTTTGATGTTTGTCACGCCGGCAAATAGCTTTTTGACTTGTAAGGTTCTGTCCAAATAAGCGGGTGTACCATGGGGCGATAGCCGGTCCTTACTCGCTCTAGTTACCGTATAAGAGGGGGGGGGTGCATATGGAGGGGGGGGGCGACAACGCTCTACGCTGAATTCGGAAACCTCTCGATGACGCTTTACGATAAATTCCAAGAGGCTACAACGTTAACGCATTACGTAGAATTAAAACGACGAATACGCTCCATGCAAAATGCGCCAATAAAGCTCTAAGTTGAATTAGAGTGGTCCGTCTACGCTCTACGTAGAATTAAAACGGCACATTACAACATTCTGCAACTTTTTATGTACTATGTAGAAACAGGTGTATAAGTTAAAGTCTGTTACTCTGTAATCTTTAACAGACTTACTCTGTAATCTTTAACACAATCTTTAACAATCTTTCCTTGTATCTATCAGCAAGACTTCTTTTTGTCACGAAGTAAATGATTATGTAACTACAAATATGCTTGTTGGAATAAAGTTGGGAAAACAAAACGGCCCATTACGCTCTACGGAAATCCGGAAAAGGGCATGCGGGACCCCATACAAGGACTGGGGGTGCCAAAGTTTCATGTGACAGTCGGGGAGTGTAGACGTGTCGACGTCTGTGAAGTGGTGAAATATTGTCGACATTAAAATGTCACACACACCCTTTTTTTGTCGCCCGAGTTTTTGTAAGGTTTGTCACAAGGCGGAGGAGTGGAGCGGACAAATTCGGAGCGTGAAATGTGTGTTATGCCCAGTGAACGCCACCTGGCGATTTGCCAGAAAATTGCAAATAAAATGTGCCAGACCCTGGTCGTCTAATACGATCGAAAAATCATTTGTATAGTATGCATGGCCAACGCCTTTTTAAGTACATTATGGGTCATTCGAAAAACATTTTTTTTCTTTTAAGAGTTCCATAGTTGCAAGCCCTATATTACTGATTTACAGTAATAATTTATACTATGACGATAAACATCCCAAATGTCGGAATTTTTCCGTGCCTAATATGACCAATAATTTAAAGAGGTAAACATCGGAGACATTTATGATACATGTAGTGTGCGGTGCGCCATGATGGCGACGATACGAAACGACGACGGGAACTGGCTATGTCGTTAACGAACTTTTATCCTACTTTTTCTTGGTAGATTATTGCCGAGTTTTCCTCATTTAACATCTGGCTCATTTTCCTCCGCAGTTGACAGTTTTAACGACTGTCAATGCATTTCGTATTAAGCAGGAAAAGATTCAAGTATACAAGATTGAAAATAATATAATTTCACGTCGTTTTTCCACCATAAATAGTCTAGCCCCTATTGTCAAGGTCATGCAAGTTTTATATCATTTTGGACCAATGGCTTTTTTCCAAGGACTATTCTTTTGTTCACTCCGTATTCCTCTATATACATCATTCGCATAGGTACAAAGATGGATAGAACCGTTTCACACACATCACAGAAAAGTGCGTGGAATGTTTTTACATTTTCGAAAACCAGAAAAAAGGGGGCGAACTTACCATTGTGATATCTTGTGCCCTTGGAGGTGAGGAAGAATAAAAATGGCGGCTGGATGTGGAGCGGTGACCTTGCTTGTGCTGGGATGACCTCTGGAGGGTTCGATGTTCTCTTCCCACCGTCTTCACAAATACGGACTGAACATTTATATGGATGTCGGGACAAGTACGGTGACATAACTTCGCCTTACCGGGTGGCCACGCACTACTAGAAGCCACACTGGTATTTTCCATCACTGGCGCCTTTTGCAGAGGAAGCAAGGACGTTTTCACGTCGTCTCCGAGTGAAAATTAGTTATAGTGTAAATACCGCGCGCAATGGTGTTACCAAACTTTCATGTGCGTCCTTTTTTAAACAACCATGGTAACCTCCTTAGCAGACTTGTGGGGTGGCGGCGTTAATTTTTTTTTCCGGGAGAGACACGAGTTGAGTTATGCCACTGAGGGACGGTTTTGCCGCGTTAGTTATTGAAGAATGAAGAAGAAGAATTAAGACCTTTATTGTACGTTTTTCCCCACTGGGCTAAGCAAAGGTCACATAATTACAATCATATACATGTACTAGTACATTATACATATAACTGTTACATGTATATATAAACGTCTAATGTATCCTAGTCTTTCCGACTTCCTCTCGTTTCTTAGTGATTGTATAAATGTATAAGGCTGTATGATTACATGTAGTTAGGCTTCTTTATCAAGGTCTATCAGGAATATAAATTTCGCTTTACTTGTCAAGTATCTGAAGTGGGGAAATGTACTTAAAACATGATCGAAAAGTATGCGTCTATCACTGTATTGAAAACTGCTTGGCTACGTTGCGTCTAGCAAGCCTGTGTGCATTTTAATAATTCTACATTATGCATCTGTCACGCGTAGGCGGTACAATGTGTGTGATCTCTCTATTACATGCACCGCGGGATCTCTCTCATCTCCATATTACGCACTAAAAATATCTCAATCCATAACGAGCATAGGGAATTCAAATTGAATCAGGTGACCGAGTTCCACCAATCAGACGCGAGCCCTGCTCGCGTGATGAAATTTGATACCAGCTTGCCATGATGCCAGACATGATTCTGTTATAATGTCACGGGCGACTGAATAGAGGTCATTTTTTTCAATAATGCATAAAGCGTTTACAGCAGAGCTACATTGCACGGTTGTTATTGCAATATGAGCTGCACTTAACAGTTATTTGATGGACTCTTTTGTAAATCAACGGTATACAAAAATCATAGTGATTCATCAGTGACAATGCATATTGTTAGGTTGGTCTCCAACGCATCTTATAATTAATTTATTGAATATTGGAATAAAGGCCCCTGATCACAAAAGCGATTTAATGGATTTGTGTTGTGATAGTATTCCCAGATGAGTACGTTCACAGATATATTTGACATTTAGGCTCAGCTGACTATACAAACCGTCGCACTGGCTGTTTATTTGGGCCACCGAATATTCATATTATGGATAACGTCACCGGATAGAATACAGGGTTTTGGCCTGTTTGTCAGCCATATAGTGAGCCCTTTCAGAAATTACCTACCTCAAAACAAAAGGATATATGCGGGTGGAAAATTGGAAGAAAAATGTCCCGAATGCTGTACATGAAAATCCCAACGTGCTATCAAAAGATTGATGGATTTTTTTTCCACAATCGCATTACATTTGATTTGGTCAGAGGATCCTAGCCTATCCATGAAATTGCGTTGTTAAGGCCTCCGTGCCTCCAAGGCGTACACGGTACAGATATAACCCGATCTTTGATCGCTCGTGCAGAGGTAACAACAAGCCTGCGTCTCTGTCCCGGTTAGTACCCGTTTAATAGGTCCACTTTATTCCTCTCACGTATTCTTAGGAGCGGGGAAGATTCTGCCGTCATCTCTGGCGCTCAAAGGTCGCTGGTTACGCGTTTTGTCCGACCTTCAGCTGACGTTACGGAACATCCGGACGCTGTTTACCGTTTGACAATAACAATTCCCTCTTCAGTAGATTGCAGAGGCGTCATCTGTGATCTGTTTCTTGTCCGTTTGGAGGAAGAGGAGGGAAGAGGAGGGGAAGATCTATAGATTGAGTGCTTCCTAAGCATCTTCTACGTAGAGTGAGTACGACTATCCGCGGAGTTCGTGTGTCCGACCATCAGTTGATGTTACGGAACATCCGGACGCTGTTTACCGTTTGGCAATAACAATTCCCTCTTCAAAGGATCGTAGATAAAGGCGTCATCATCTCATCGACATCTGTTTGTGTCGTTTGGAGGCTGAGGAGGGAAGAGGAGGGAAGATCTGGAAGGTAACGGAGAAGATTCGTTTCGCAGGTAAAGAGGATATGGAGGATCGGTATTCCAAGAAGAATCCTACTAGCATCTACTCTATGGAGTGAGCTTCTTCGTGTCCGCGGAGTTCTGTGTTCTAGATTGAGGCTTCCAGCATTTTCTCGGCGGAGTGAGTCCGGCTATCCGCGGAGTTCGTTCGTGTTAACGGCTAGCCTGGTAACCAGATCCCCGTGAGCTCAGCGCTGGCTCTTCGGTGCTGGGAGTGTTTTGGACCGCAGAAACGGACAGGCACCATTGACCGTCGGGGGTAGCTTTTTGCAGACGGTTTAGAATTCTTCGCTCACAAGTCTCAAGCCTTTCGATAGGCGTGTAATAGAAGACTCGGCGCAATACAGGAAGCCGGTGGATACGGGGAAACCAGCTGGAGATAGGTCCGTGGCTATAGCTCGCCTGTGTTTGGTAAAGGCCGGGGTAGGAAAATCACCCAAGCCGACCAAAGGTTTGTTACCCAAGCCACTTTCTAATCTCCAAGCAGATCCTAGGGTGGCAAAAAGATAGTATCGAATTGACCAGGCAGTATCCATTGCCCAGAGAGGGTCCAATACGCCACGGGCCATATAAAAAGGTAAAGATCTTCCCTCATCAACCTCTGTATCTGTATCTGTATAGCCGGTATAACCGCCTTTTGGCGTAACACACCAGCTTCGCAGGCACGCGGCGCGGCCGCAACTGGCTATACCTTACACCGAACGACTTGTTACACCTAACCCTTTGAAATCTAACTCTAAACATTAGTACGGAGCCATGCCTCTGCTGCTGAACTGCCGGGTTCTCCTCGTGCTGACAGTCTCGCTGCAGGTGGTGGACGTGCCGTGCTCGTCGGCATGGGGAGGGGAGGGCTCCCGCCGGGCCGCGCCAGTCTCCCCGTCCAAGCTGCTGTCCGCCCGAGTCGTGTCCGCCATCCTGCTGACCTGCTTCATCATCGATCTGGCGGACATCATCAGGTAAGTTCTTCTTTTATTGTTTTTGCTCTGTTTCCTCTTCTTCGCCAAACCAAAAAGGTCAATGACCTGAACCAGACGTCTGTCACCATGGTAACTGGTGTTGGGTTACATTATGTTGCGTTGTGTCCGCCATCCTGCTGACCTGCTTCATCATCGATCTGGCGGACATCATCAGGTAAGTTCTTCTTTTTATGTTTACCGAAGGTTTTTCCTCAGTTTCTTCCTCTTCCTCTCCAAACAAATAAGGTTAATGACCTGAACCAGACTGTCTGTTACCATGGTAACTGGTGTTGGGTTACATAATGTCCGCCATCCTTTTGACGTGCTTCATCATTGATCTGGCGAACATCATCAGGTATCTTCTTCCTTTTATGTTTACCGAAGGAAAACAAACTGTTTTTGCTCTGTTTCCTCTTCTTCTTCCGTTCCAAACACTGACCTGGTCAATGACCTGAACCAGACCGTCTGTCACCATGGTAACTAGTGTCGGGTTACATTATGTTGCAATTTTATAGCAGGAAGGATAGAGTAGAGGCGGCATATTTGTCTAGGGTCGGTCGGGAAACAGAAAACACAACATTTTGTCCTAGGCCTAACATGTGTGTGTAGCCATATTCAGTAATAAACCACTTCTCTTCTTCAAATAAAGGTACCTCCTTCAGGATCCGAACTGGACGGACTTCAGATGGGAGCTGCCGCAGTTCCTGACACGTGTGACAGGTGAGAGCGAAGACGGGACAGGTGTACATGTGCACCAGACAGGTGTACCCGGGGAAGGAAGGAAGCCCAAGATCTCGACAGTTGCGTTCGACACGCAAGTAAAAGACGTGAAAAGGCGGCGACTGGTCAGAATAAGGTAGACTCGGATCTAAGATCTAACGTTAAGATGTTCTTATAAAGCATCTAAAAATGCTAATACGTCTTTGAACATTCATTTGATAGAGAAAATGTGTATATGTATATGCGTGTATGTATATGTATATACAGAGATAGATGAATATTTAATGTATGAAGATATAATAAGTAAACGTCTTTGAAAATTGATAGAAGAAATGTGTATATGTGTTTGTATATATACAGCGCTAGATAAAGATATTATGTATGTATTTAATACATGTGTATCAGATGTCCCTGTGGATTCATGGTTAACGGTGGAACGGCTGTTTACAAATGTCTATGAATATTAGGCTTGGATATTGCTATTAGACATAGTTACATGACGGCTGTTATATTCCATGTGTGTTCGTATCGCATGAGAAACTGGCAACAAGACAAAGCATACGCCAACAACAGTTCCAAGATCCCATACCTCCATGAAATATGGGCTTGCTTTGTCATGCTTCATTTCAACTGCAGTTCTGCTGCAATACCAAGGTCATCCACCAGGAGGCCCATATTTGACCTTGACCTTTGTCTTCCTAAGACTTATCAGCATATCAAATATCATCACAGTCCATAAAGGCGTTATGAAGTTATGCTGACTACAAAGTTGCTGAAACACACACAGACAGACAGACACACAGACAGACACGCCAAAAACAATACCTCCATTTTTCATGGAGGTAATAATCACACGATTCGTCCGGCCTGTGATTCTCTATGTAGACATCTTGAAAAACTACTGTACTGACATTCTGTGCACGTTTACAAAAACTGTTACATGTGATGATATCACAAAACATGTAGGTATAGAATTTTTGATATCTACTGTAACTGTGCATCCAGCGCAACTAATTAGGCCCCATTCCCACTGGCATAAGATTGTCGAGCCGGATCGAAGCCGGATCAAAGCGATTCAATTCGGCTCAATTCGGACAATTTTATCCTAGTGGGGAAAGGGCCTAAGATACACCAGTGCTGAGTACAAATGGAAAATATATCAGAGAACATATTTAGACCTTAGAGAATGAGCAGTGTAAACAATTGCAATACGCCAAGCTCAACATGTTGATTTATTCATATACTTCTATGTAAGTTTATTTCTTTCCACTTGTTTGTATAAAATACTACAAACGCAGTTCTGTAGTCTTTACGGTTTAGCATTAACTTTATAGTCTCGTTACGACTAGATTCTAGTAGCAGCGTCCTGCATATAATATACTAACATTTTACAAAATTTTACACCAAAAACGTGTGGAGTAACACTGATCATTAACAAAATAAAGTCAAACTAATATCCTGGTTCAAGTGTGTGTAACACAGTGCAACAACCAACAACAACAGCAACACTGTAGGCAACAAGGCAACAGATATGAAAACAATAACAATACGATCAGCAACAATGATATTGATAAATGTAACAATAGTCTGATTATGTTTTGACCTAAAGTACATTTTCACCCACTTCTATTGGTGACAGCAACATTGTGATTCGTAAACGTTAGCTACCTGGGGAGGGATACTTTTAGAGCCCTGATTGCAAAATCTAGATTCATCTTCTTCACCTCTTTCAGGTATTGATTCGAGAGGTAGGTTGAAGCTAGAATGTGTTACACAATGCCTCGCTGCATGCCTTGAGAAGTCCGAAGATAAGCGATGTAGGTACACCCTAAGAGGCCTGGAGCTAGATTATAAGGCATGTAGCAACGCCTTGAGAGGTCCTGAGATGTCTCTGCCGTGCAGTTTCCAGTCTAGCGCCGTGAAGTCCTCCCTAGGGGGCCTGGAGCTAGACTATAAGGTGTGTAGTTACACCCTAAGAGGCCTTGACATAGTCTACAAGGCATGTAGTAGCGCTTTGAGAGGCCCTGAGATGTCCCTGTCGTGCAGTTTCCAGTCTAACGCCGTGAAGTCTGCGTTTTCGAGTTTCTCCCGCTCCGTCAGCTCCACTCCCTCCACTTTCCTCGTGTGCTCTCGGAGTCTGGGGGAGGGAAAAATTTAACAATTCATTGTTCAATCATGCCCTATCGGTAAACAGACGCAAAGATATACACATGTTTATAGTACAAACAGGAATACTGATACTAATCTGGGAACTAGACGAAAGGTAGTGGGTGCTACCTGAAATGTCGGACCGCTTTCAAAATTATATCCAGTTGCTTGTCAATGAGTAACTGTTTTAAATTTTGGCATGTCTTACCTGGATGTCTAACCTTCACCGACGTAATCTGACAACATTAGCTCTAAAACTACTCTAATACAGAACAACATTAGATCTATAACTGCTGTAGTACAGAGGTTCACAGGCCATAGAATTACACTTTTAACCCTCCAACATGTAAAAATAAATCTGCAAGCAGATCATACGGTGGCAAGGCGCTAGGCAGTATCAATTGGCCACATGAGTGTTCAGTAGCCTGTACAAACTCCTCTGGCTAATGGCTACTGTCTTGCTACAGAAAGGGATCTGCTTGGAGATTACCAACATGGCGGACGGTAAATTACGTCATGGTCATGTGATACTCACAGCAGCCGGTCGTACATCGCGCAGACCATACAGAACAGCTCCCGGTCAAAGGTCACGTCCGAGTCCAGGTCCAGCAGCTCCATGATCCACGTCAGACGCGCGGATGACGCGTCACGTGCGTACAGCTCCTGCACGGCCTTCAGGACGTCCTGGGCAGATACATAATGCATTATTAGCTCTAAAAGACTTTTAGAAGTTCGTATAGCAGGTCCATTATCGAAATTGACCTTCGTCTTCGTTGCCCCTACTCATCTACTGAATATCGCAGAAAAAGGTGAAGGAGGCTGGTGTTGGAAGCTTAAGCGGCAAAGGTCCCCGACCTTCAAGATGAGGATGTTTTAATAACAAGGTGGTGTACAACGTAAAAGAATCCAACACACTTATCGACAAAAGTCGGCGGTCCGGTGTGCTTGGCTAAGTATGCGAGCCGTAGCGACAACGCATTGCACTAGTTCACATGAGTAACCAAAACGGAGAGACAATAAATTACCCGTTTAATAGACGACAAGACGCAAAACTATGAGTCTAAAAACTATTATCCTAGACGGTGTGTTGTGTTCCTTCAAGATTACCTTGAAGGTTAAGGAGCCTGAGTGTCTCAAGTCTTGTTTGTCGAAGATTTCCTTGTAGACAAGATGTCTCGTCTTGTTCAGTTTGCAGTACTTGGACAGATACTGGCGAGGGGTCAGCGCTGGAAGTGTGGAAAATAATATATTCACAATACATTTGAGTGAACGATTTCTACCAACATATAATGTCACTTCTAGTCACTTTGTTCCGTTAGATATCATATAAATAGATATCAGTTATCATATCATTCTGCTATATTATCATTATGTTGTAATTTATAGACAATATAGTTTAATCTACATGTATATAACTTATATAAGATAGAATACCGTCCAACTTCAGTTTTAATTACTTGTTTGTTTGCTTGTTTGTTTTTACAATTTTCAGTGATTATGATTACTGTTTGGCGACAATATGTTACTCACTGTCCAGTTCCCTGAGGTCCATGGGCAGCTCGAACCGACTGACCAGTCCGTGCACACTCGGAATCTAACGGTGGAAAACAGTGTAAATAACATGTATTTACGTTACGCAGTGTAGATGACACATATCTGTATCATAGCAAGCCATATTCGAACTCGTAAGGGCATTCTCTCTGCTAAAAGCGTCTCAACATTTTACTGGCTTGCATAAACGTCTAAAATGCCATTTGAAAGATAATGCGTAACTCAACGACATTGAATCTTCAGTTTTGCCATCACGCACACTATTATAGAAAGTCAGTGTTAGATTCTGACAGTGCAATTCTAAATTCATTGGGTTTTCCAAAATCTCAATGCCGAATTCGCGAATGTATCAAGTATATTTGACGGAATCGACATAGACCTTCCAACAATTACTAAATAACAAAGGTCGTCTATATATAACCTACATGGATTTGTTTTCATGACAACCGACAATGTAAGATAATGACAGCCTACTTTTCAAGCCGTCAATTGAACGACGTTCAGTCTAGGGATTTCTGTTACCATGGATATTTGTTGCCATGACAACCGCGAACGTATGCTAATTACAGCCAAGGACGTTAGTTATATCAGGCGCTACTTGTTACAGCCTAATTTTCCGACAATCATTTGAACGACGTTCAGTCTGGAGATTTCTGTTACTACGCGGAAACCATAATTGAATATGATCTCTTGGGGCTGATTGCATGCTGCACGACGGTAATGATAATAAGAAGTAGGAACGGTAACGTGCTCTGTGTGTTAAGTATGTAATCCAGTGGTTTTGGCTTTCTGAAAAGAAATGTACGTACTTTGAAATATTATGTTATTTTCTACAAATAACGGAAGGAAGGTTCAATTTTGAATTTCTTTTGCAAATGCTTAGAAATTCTTACGAATGCTTACGATTTTTTTACGAATGCTTGCGAATTCTTACGGATGTTTACGAATCTTACGCATGCTTACAACAGACGCTTCCACCTATAAAACAGTTGCCTTACCGTGATCTGCAGCCCGGTGGACGGGAGGAAATTCCCGCCACGTAACCGCTCGTCAACGTCCTGTAACAAACAAGATAGTCAGAGATCATGGCATA